GGTGTTGGGAAAATTGGACAGCCATATGCAGAAGAATGAAACTGGACCACTTTCTTACACCATATACAAAAAATAAATTCAAACTGGGTGAAAGACCTAAATGTGAGGCAGAAATCCATCAAAATCCGCCTGGGTGGCTCAGTCGGTTAAACGTCTGCCTTCGGCTCAGGTCACGATCCCAGGGTCCTGGGATCAAGTTCCACATCGGGCTCCCTGTGCTTCAGGGAGTCTGCTTCTCCCTCTGCCCCTCCTCCCACTCGTTCTCCTAATCTCTCTCTCTCTCAAATAAATAAATAAAATCTTTTAAAAAAATCCTAGAGGAGAACACAGGCAGCAACCTCTGTGACCTTAGCTGCAGGCAACTTCTTGCTAGACGCGTCTCCAAGGCAAGGGAAACAAAAGCAAAAATGAACTTTTGGGACTTCATCAAGATAAAAATCTTCTGCACAGCAAAGGAAACAGTCAACAAAACCAAGAGGCAACCCACAGGATGGGAGAAGATATTTGCAAATGACACTACAGACAAAGGGCTGATATCCAAGATCTATAAAGAACTTCTCAAACTCAACACCCAAAAACAAAGAATCCAGTCAAGAAATGGGCAGAAGACATGAACAGACATTTCTCCAAAGAAGACATCCAAATGGCCAACAGACACATGAAAAACTGCTCAACATCACCCAGCATCAGGGACCCCTGGGTTCTCTTTCCCAAGCCACACCTCCTGCTTGCTGTCTGCTGACACCTTCCCCAGTGCACTGAACACTCGCGCCACCACCCGGAATGAACCCCCAGCGCAGACCCCTCTCCTGCCCCTCCCCGAGCCCCTGCCGCAGCCCCTGGCCCTGTGCTCCGCACCCCCGGACACACCGCGTGCCCCATCTCCGGCATCTGGAACGCTGCGCCCATGGTGTTTCTCCGGCCCTGCCCCTGGTGGGTGGCTCCTCCCAAGTCACCCTCGACCTCACATCTAAGTGATGGGCTTTCTCAGGACCTGGTCCTGCAGACTCTTCCTCTCTAGGTCCCCGCTGGGCGTCACCTGCTCCACGAGGCCCTCACCGGCCCCATGGATGTGGGCCACCATTACTCCCATGTCAGACCCTTGTTTATTTTCCTCCTAGCTCATAAAAAAACTCAGAGTTTGCTTGATTTCTTGTCTGTCTCCCTCCCTCAGCTGCAGAACCCTCACAGCAGGGATGGCATCTGTCTTGTCCATCGTATTCCCAGCATATATGGTCATTTCTGACACACTCCAGGAATTTCTTTAAGTCTTTCACAAGTGAACAAATATTGTTGTTTATTTCAGGCTTACTGTCATAATTTAAAGGCAAACCCAAGGACAAGGATTCTGAATCATCTCTGCTTCCTGCAACACCATACAACATCCTACACAGAGCACAGAGCTGAATAAATCACTGAGTGATTGCGCCGGGCTCATGAGTGGTGGGAGACCCCTCCCTGTGCCCTGCACTGAAGGAAACTGGCCTCCCTGGCTTTCTAAATTATGTCACCACTTCCCATCCTCCCCTCCAACCTGGACTCCCCCTTCTCCTCCTATATCAGAACACGTTCTCAAAAAGTCAAGTATCTAAAGGAAGATTCTGAATATTCATCTTTCATTACTGGACAGAAAGACACCCTGGTGAAAATATGTCAGTTTTCCACCCAATCAAATACTAACTGGGTTGGGGTTGGAGGGTGGGCAGGTTCGTAACAATAATGATAAAGCCAAGGGGCAAAATAAACATAATGAATATCCACAAAAAAAATCTAACATATTAGAGTATCATGAGGGTTCTAAGACCTACCTGACATTAATACACATTGCAAAGGTACGTATTTCCAATGGTTGGGCACACAGGCAGGAATAGACAAAGGACAGAACAGAAGAGGGAGTCAGGAAAATATGCAACTGTGTGTGCATATGCAGCAGATTATGAAGCTGGGATCCAAATCCGTGGGGCAACTCTGGATTATTCAATAAACTGGGACGGGAAAAACCATCCTCACTTGGAAGTTAACTCACACTGTCACCAAAATGTTATCTTGGATATGCTGAGTCCTCTAAAACACGTGTTGAAGGATGTTCACCAAAACATTCTATGCGATCTCAAAACAAAACAATAACCTTGAAATAACTCAATGTCTGCCAGTTCATGGTGCACTCATGGAATTGCGTACCGTGTGGTGGTTGAAAAAGACTTCATAAAAATTTATCTATACACACTGATAGGAAAATGGGAAAATGTCCAAGATGTACTTATAGACGACAAAAATGAGTTACAAAAAAAAATGGAGAATCCGTGGTGGGGGAGTGTTAAAGAGTGCATTCACACGCACAGTTCTCTGGAAGGATGATACACAAAAACCTAACAATGGTTACCTTCGGGAAGCAGGAAGATTTTTATTTTGACTTCATACCTTACAGTGTTGACTGAATGTATTACCAAAAGCATGTAACTTTTATGATAAAAAATTAAATAGGATAAAAATAACCACTATAGGAAGGAAGGAAGGAAGGAAGGAAGGAAGGAAGGAAGGAAGGAAGGAAGGAATGGAGGGAGACAAAGGAAGAGGTAAAAGAGAGAATCATGTACTAATTTCCAGGCTTCAATATATTTTCAGGACAGACAAATACCATATGATTTCACTCCTGTGTGGTATTTAAGAAACAAAACAAATGAGCAAAGGAAAGAGAGAGAGAGGAAACCATAAAACAGACTCTGAACTCTGGAGAACACCCTGATGGTCACCCGAGGGGAGGTGAGTGGGGGTGGGGGAAACAGGTGATGGGGATGAGCATGGGGTCACGTATGGAGGTGATGAATCACCTGAAACTAACATTACACCGTATGTTAACTACACTGGAGTTTAAATTTTAAAAACCATAGTTACAAAAGTCTCATGAAATATATATATATATATATGCAGGATAATTATCAGCATATGCAAAAGCTGATTACATCTCCCACCAAATTTCTAGTTCTGTCAAGCAGGGGAACCATGTAGTCTAGTCCTGAAAGATCTGTGCATTCTCAGGCTCAAGTCCATCCTACAGATGAGCAAACTGAGGGCAAAGCACGCTTCCTGGGAACGCATCACCACAGAGACGGCACCGCTCGGCCTCCTACCAGTGCATGGACATGTGTATGGTGGAAAAGCCAGGACAAGGGTCCAAAGTAGGATGAAGCAGAAGAACCGGGACACTGTCAGTTCTGGAGCCTGTGTGGGCAGAGGGTAGGAGGGGGCTCTGGGGCAGGTGGTGGCCGGGCCTTACCTTGTAGTGGTTGACCGCGTCCTCAACGGCCAGCTCACTGTGCCCCTGGTGCTCAGGAGACGCCAGGCACTCCCTGCACACAAGAAGTCTGCTCTCCTCACAGAAAGAGCACACCTTCTTCTGGTGGCTGGAGCAGAGGTAGCCCGGCCCCAGCACCCCCTCGGAACAGGGCTTCCGGCACAAGGGACAGCAGAGGACTCCGGAGGCCGAGGCCTTCACCACGTGCCGAGCCAGGCACCCTCGACAGAAGCGGTGTCCGCACTCGGTGCTCACAGCCTCCTTCAGGAGCTCCTGGCAGATGGCGCAGACGCCCTCTTCCCGGCCATCCTCCTGCGGAGGATCCATGGCCTCTGCTGGCCTCCCGGCCCCAGGGCCTCCTTCTCCCGCGGGGTTTTGGAGGGCCTGGACCGAGACAGGCCAGACAAGAAGGCCCAGCTGGGGGGCAGCCCCCGGGCAGCGGAGAGAGCTCGGCTCGGCCCCGACGTCAGGCAACGGCCCGCTCTCTGTGGCTGGAACCGCAGCCCGACCACACACGCCCCGAGTCTGCACCCATGGCAAAGCTCTCTGCTCAGCCTTGACGCGCTCCCTCCAGCCGCCGAAAATCTCTTCTTATTTGTCACACGTCGGGAGCAAGCCGGCGATTCAGAAGCCAACTCTGTTTTCCTCTCCAGAGCTTTCTGTCCTTGCACAGCTCAGAGTGACGAGGCCAGAGCGTCATGAACTTTGAAGCTGGTCGTCTTCGCTGACGGGCCTGAGGTGGAGAAAATGCGGCGGGGGCTTGGCGTGTCCTCTCCCACACGGGACAGCAGGAGGCTCGTGGCAACAGTCCAAGAATTCGGCTACTGCCACCGAGTCCAGCCGTTGCATCCGTGTCTCTCTCTCTCAACCAACATCCTTTCCGGGGTTACATGGATTCCACGGTGAGAGAGAAAGAGAACAGGGCATGTGGAGCAGACCAGGGACCTGTGCGAAGTCTGAAGGCCTTTCCCCTTCCTTTGAGAGCGTCTCCAAAGAGGGGCAAGACGGCCGCACTTGTCTTAAACATCCTCACTCCCACATCCCCAAACCTCTCACCTGGTCCTCCTCCCGAGAAGCTCCCTTGTGCTCCACTCCAGGACGTCTTCCGGGCTGTCTGGAGAGACAGCCAGCAGGTGAACGGCTCTCTTTCCCGTGTGCCCTTTGGACAACGCCCGTGTGTCGGGAACACTGGGGGAGAGGTGAGGAGCACCCCTCCCTGGAAACACTGGATTGCCAGGAAGGTGAAGCTCGCAGGGCTGGGTGACGGGCCTAGGGTAGCAGACGGGTGAGGTGGACGTTGGCTGGAGAAGGTGTGGCTTGTTTGCACACGGGGAGGACGAAGGTCTCAGTGCGTTCAGTGTGAATATGACACGAGCAAGAGCCAGCTGTCAGCGCGAACACTCCCCAGAACCCCAGCCTGTGCAGCCCGAGGTCCTGAGCCCCGCATCTACGCACGACCCCGGGACGGCCCAGCCCACTGTCTTGGGGCTGACCCCCGCCCTGACACCAGCAGCCCGGGGGTACCGGCGGACAGAGGCGGACAGGTGGGCGCCGGGCTGGCTCCGTCGCTAGAGCCTGCGACTCTTGACCCTGAGTCCAAGCCCCTCGTGGGGCATAGAAATGACTTAAAAATGAAATCTTTAAAAAACAACAGCTGCCATGGATGCTGTAAACGTCCGAGGTTCTTGGGAGAGCCTGACTCCGTAGCCCCTGCCTCTGCTCCACTGGCCCCGGCCTGCTGCCCAGGTCCTTGGCTTCCGCTCCGAGGAGGCAGCTCCCGGGAAGCTCCGCACACGGGGGCGTGGCATCCTCCTCGCTGCACGCACCACCTCGTTGCGTAGCTTCCCCGGAGCCGGGAGCTCCTGCCCACTCTCGGCTTCCAAGCCGGCCTCCACAGAGCTGCCTCTCGAAATGCACACGCACGCATGGGGCTGTGCGCAGGAGGCCCCCAGCTTCTCCCCACCCGCCCCCTGAACATCCAGCATGGAGCCCCTGCAGCTCCTTGACTTGCTCAGTCCAGCGACCTCCCTGATTCCACCTCCTGAAATCAGCAATCCAGGACTGGCCCCAAGCTCCACCTGACCGCATCTGTTCTTCAGCCTTTAATCCTTGATCCTTCCACATTTCCGTCCTATTTCATGATGTGAGAAGGGGAACCTGCCCACGGCCACACTGGGCAAACGGAGAGCCGGGGCCCCGGTCCCGATGGGTGTCGTGCTGAGCACAGGCTCCCTCACCACAGAATGTCGTGTCTTAGAGCTCAGCACAGGCTTGATAAGTGGCCGGGGGACCAACAGCTGGATTCTGGACAGACGGGAAGAAACAGCACCTTGGACCATCTGGTAGTGTCTACAGTCACTCACTGCTCTCTTGATTTTCCTACCAGCTAACCGAACAACTGCAAGGCAGGGGTCCACTCTGTCCGAGCTCACGCTATCTCAAGAACGTTTCAGCGTAGACATCGTGCACCGAAAGACAGAGTCTACCCATCTAGAAAGATCTGCGTGGAGGGAGTTCGGTCAGGACCCTGTGATGATATTGCGCGGGGGCACACGGTGACTGCACTCGTGGTGATGAGCAGCGCGGACTGCGCGTGACTGTCCGTCCTCCCTGTTGTACGCCTGAAACGCAGTAACACTCTGGTCCGCTATGCTTCAGTAATAAACAGTTTCTTAAATCTCTCCACGGAAAAAAACCATAAACGCAATGTCAAGAGACGAATGACCAAATTAAATCGTAAAAACAAACATGTTTACAGCTATCATCAAATTCAAAGGACCGATTTGCCGACATAGCGAGAGTGCTTACAAATACAAAAGTAATACTAACTTTAGGTAGAAAATTGGGCAGAGTAAACAGACACTTCATAGAAAAACTACAAAATATCTCTAACTCATAAGAAGATGCTCAATCTCACTCACATGACGAAAATCCCATTACAATGACACTGAAATCAGATGTCCGGATGACTAGAGGACAGGGCGGGGACTTTCCCCGGGGACCCCACCTGCACATTTTAACTTGGAAGTCGGAGGCTTCCCTGCATCCTCCCTGCGGCCACCCTGAACTACTCACATCAGCTTGAGCCCCGCTCAGCCGGTTTCCTGCCTGAGGCCTTCCCGGCGCGCACTCTTCGTCCCTTCAGGGCCCCCACGGACAGCTGGGCAGCCTGCCCACTGCACATGTGCAGCCCACAGAGAGGGCAGCCCTCCAGGGGAGGCCACATCCAGCCGTCCACTCTGCTCCGTGGCGGTGGAGCTTACGTGGGCCTGTGGCCCCCCTGAACCCCAGAGCCATCCACATCCTTCCCTCTGCTCCTGGTCTCCGTACGGATTCTTGGATGCATCATCACCACCTCAAATTCAAGGTACCTTATGAATTATTCTTACCTGGATTACCTGCCCCCCAGCCTGGAACAAGCAAAGGAGGGGGTCCTTCAGCTGTGCGTGGCCCTGTCTCTCCATGGGCCACAGGGGGCGCTGTCCCCCAACACAGGACGCAGCTCCATGCACTTCTCTGGACGGGACAACGCTGCCAGGAGCCAGGGTCCCTGCGGTATTTCTTTTTTAAAAAGGATGGCTCCACGGAGGACAGGGGGGATGGTTGAAATAGGCGGTGGGGATTAGAGAAGACACTTATCAGGATGAGCACTGAGTGATGTATAGAATTGCTGAATCACTGTACCATACACCTGAAACTAATAGGACACTGTGCTAACTACAGTGGAATTAAAATAAAGAACTTGGGGTACCTGGGTGGCTCAGTCCATGGAGCGTCCAACTCTGGATCTCCGCTCAGGTCATGATCTCAGGGTCCTGAGGTCGAGCCCCACGTTGGGCTCGGCATTGGGCTCCATGCTGGACATGGAGCCTACTTTAAAAGTAAATAAATCAAATTAAAAACTTAACTAAAAATAAAAAGGATAGCTTTAAAGCAGGCATTGTAATTCCTCAGGACAAGAGATTTCTGGCTAAGGCAAGTTAACTGTCAATGCGTAGGTCTGGGAGGGGAAGGGGGCATCCAGGGGTGCAAGAGGAAGAAGGGTCTAGCCCAGGAGAGTCAGCCTGCAGGGCAGCCCGGGCCAGAGGGCCCAGGAAGGAGGCTTGCCAGGAAAATGTCAAAGAAGTAAGAACAGAACATCTAATACTGAGCCTTAAGGTATCTCTGGAATTATGAAAAGCAAGGTCGGGGGGAGCAGGGTCCCAAGATGGGAGACTCAGGAGACACGGAGAACTGGGCAGACACCTTAGGAGTCCCCCACCCCCACCCCCCACCCCCGCCCTGCACTCTGGCAGCCACACGGCCTCCGGAGTCCTCTGTGCCGGCCAGCAACCGCTGACCCTCACTCTGCCTCGCCTGCACTGTGGGCTCCTGTTGATTCTCAAGCACGCCTCCCTCTGCGAGTCTGGAACTGGAGGTTCCAAATCCCCCTTTACAGGGAAGGGGCTAACTGCATAGCGCCATCCTTTTGTTGAAACAGGTGTTTCCAACCCAGAGCTGACAGTCAGCCCTGCACACAAATGCCCCTGGGGGTGGGGGGATTTGGCCCTTCCTACCACCCCTACAGTCAGAGTGTCCACGTAGGTCGGTCTGGCTGACTCCGCAGGACTCAAGGATTCTTTTTTTTTTTTTTTCCCAGCTTCAGTTAATTTTATTTCCTTAGTTTTTTAAATTTAAATTAAATTAAATTAACATATAGTGTATTATTAGTTTCAGGGGTAGAGGTCAGTGATTCATCAGTTGCATACAACACCCAGTGCTCATTACATCATGTGCCCTCCCCAATGTCCATCACCCGGCTACCCCATCCCCCACGCCCCTCCCTTCTGAAACCCTCTGTTGTTTCCTGGAGTCCAGAGTCTCTCATGGTTCTCCTCCCTCTCTGACTCCTTCCCCTTCAGTTTTCCCTCCCTTCCCCTGTGGTCCTCCCCGCTATTCTTTATGCTGCACACGTGAGTGGATCATATGGTGTTTAGGACTCAAGGGTCCTTTAACAGCCTGGAGGAGGGGCTGGTTGCCTCAGTGCCCTTCCCGCTGTTGGGCAGAATCCGGAGCCTCCACCAAGGTTTGGGGGTTCATCAGTTCTTGCCGGGTGTCTCTGCATACAAAGGGCTTCCAGGAACACCTCTGCTGCCCACTGAGACAACTCACCCAGCATCCGGGACTAAAGTGCAAGTGTTTCAGATCAAACCCAAATCAACAACTGAGGAGATAAACATTTAAATAGAAGAAGATACTCCTAGATCTCTTGAAAATCAATTGATGAAAAAGAATAAACCTATAAACACATTGAAATTTTTAAAAATTTTAAAAAATTCTACAAAGAA